GAGAGAGAGAGAGAGAGAGAGAGAGAGAGAGAGAGAAAGAAATAGCCGAACAATTATTAAAAATTGTTATAGTGTACGTGTGTTGAAAGAATTGAGGTATGTTTTGATATTATAATTTGGTACTTGCTAGTATTCCACTGCTATTTTTTCTCTTTACCTGCATATTGAAGATGCCGTCATGGCTAGACCATTAACAGAACCAAGGAGTTCACTAGGAACTGAATTGTTCACAAGGATTACTGTTGAGCTGAAACCACAACCAACACCTAACTTTAAGGGTAGGAGAATGCCAATCAGCAGAGGCCACAACACTGTAGATCTGCAAATTTGCCAATCAAGAAGATTAATAAGGCAGCCTGTCACAGATATTGAGGAGCAACACAGGAACACTGCATTGTATTTTCAGGGAAAATACCACTACTCATGGAATACTACTTATTTCAGTCTGTTTCAGCCAAGTGACTCAGCCAGGTGACCCATATGGGCAGCCTAACGCCCTCTTTACACGCCCCAGGTTGCTTGTTACCCCGGCTTGACTCACCGTAGAAAGTGCTAAAAGTAAACACTTTACACCAACCCGGGTTGTCAATCTGCAATAGAGTGTGGTTTGCTTCAAGCCTGCCCTAGGCCAGTCTTTCTACCGATCAAAAACTGAAAACATCGGCTAGAACAATGACAAACAAAAAATCTAGAAAGTATAACAGAATGGTGGGAGGTCCTGATGTACAAACCAAAAAAGAAAAAATAGAAGCAACGTGGTTATTAGACTGAAAGTACCAACCTGGGTTAGCTTTTGGCCCACTGTTTACATGTAAGAATTGAAGAAATTTCAACCCTTCTCACCGGGTCAACCCGAGTCTCGACAAGGGTTACCTGGCAAGGGGGGCTGACCCGGCTTGACTACTGTTTTCATGTAAATGCTTATAAACATTTGACTGCAAAAAGGTTACCCGCCACAGTGATTCAACCCGGGGTCGTGTAAAGAGGGCCTAAATTGTGCCGTACCCAGTCCCCGAGGATTAATAGGGAGTGGGTATGGCTAAATGTAGGCTACCATATGGGTCACTTGGCTAAAGCAAAATTTCCCTTTTTAATACCCCATAGTTTTCATAAATTACCTGTCATAATAAGTGTTTATAGCAGACAGAGATGCTGTCAGTATTCCCACGATGGCATTTACTAGTTGGAAAACCTGTAAGCAATGGGAGTAACATTAGAATTTAACTGCAAAGGTTGATTTTTGAAAAAGTGAAACTGGTATGTTTGAAGTGCAGTAGTAATTTTCATACATTTGAACGTTTTGTTTTAATTAATTACCTGGAAAATTTTACATTTTTTACACAAAAATAGCAAATTAAATTTTTAAAAACTAAAAACCTCACCCTTTTTGCTCCAAGTCGTCTTTCAAACTGAAATAAAGCAAAGTGCAAAACTGTATGAATTTATATAAATTTTGAAGCTAAACTTAGCACTTGCTTTGATTCATTACTCATCTGGGCCTGGGGCAAGGACTTTTCATGGGTATTAAATAGTTGTGCATGTTTATTTCAGCATTGTTCATAACACAACGAGTTATGTTTGAGGTTACTTCTTTTGGAGGGTCATTACTTTCAGAGGATTATTACTTTTAGCTTTTACTAACTGTTAAGAATCGAAAAATTGTAATAATTTAGCCACTTAATGATTAACTCGATGCCCAGGTGATTTTGACGAATTTACCGCTTTGTTGTATCGTGGGCGCATCTTGACATGTGAATTAAGAAAAAAAAGGATGACATGTTGAAATTTGTGAGACCTTGTGGTTCATTCCAACGTGAAATTAAAAGGTACCAGAGTACTTTGTTATTGTAATTTGTAATTTGTGATACGTGTGATTTGTTAAGACGTGTTACTTTAAATAAAAAAAAAAAAATCAATTGCTCTGTGTGACGAATCCTTTGGATATTGACCGTTCTAACAATTGAGAACACTGACAAAAGCAAAATTTGACAACCACTTTCTGAAGATCACTACAATGATTATCAGTTGAGTAAGGTGTGATGAACGTGTGGTGACCAGGTTTTTAAGTTCAACTCGAGTTGTTGTCATGGGCAACTGGCTCCATTTCCAGTGGCAACTTGTTGACCTCTGACTTCACTGGCAGCAAAGTGCACAAAATTACAGGCAGCAATGTTGTAACCATTGGAAAAGAGGAAAGCTGCCTGTGGCAACACCGTAATTTTAAGTCCAAAATTTCATCACCAAAGCTCTGTCGCACCTTAAAATACATTACTACATACATTACTTTATTTACCCTTGCATTTCAGAGTGGTTTATGCAGCTAATATTTCCGAGCATTTAACCATCAGATGAGAGATAGACCACCACACTGGGAACTACGTCTCCCACTCTTCTCGATCAGTATTCGATCACCTTACTCAACTGATAATGATAGTAATTCAGGGGCTGTTACTTTTGACACTTTTTGGTAATAATGAGACTTAGTAGATGCTGCAGCATTTATTTGTTTTGTAAATTGCCATACGAAACAAGTTTTGGAGCTGAGGGAATCTTCCAAGTTCAACACTAGAGAACCATTTGATTGTTTTGGTCTTTTCGCAAGTCTGCATTTAATTCATCCCCTCTTTAGAATTTGTACCTTGGGATATGTCCACATCTGAAGAAACAGGAGAGGTGCCGCAACACACAGTAGTGCGGTACCTATTTGGTTTGTTGAGAATCCAAGTCCACCTATCACAACAGTAAATAAGAATGAAGACAGTAACACCAACAAATCACTTCTTTCAATCACGGATCTGAGTAATGTAATCATATTAATCACCTTAAATTACTCTAAGATGTTACATGTACATCAGAGCTAATAATACATGCATATACTGGTAAGGAGAACTACCATTAAAGTGAATGATTAGATGGAATTGTCGGACCAAGTACTCCCTCTCAAGAGCCATTTTCTTTTTACTTAAGAATGTCTGCTCAGTCATTGTATTTTGAGTTATTTTCAGGCCAGGTACAAAATTACCTTTAAATTGAAGGAAACCTGAAAATGGTAGTTTACTATTTAAGAAAGAAAAACTCTGGCAAAAAGATGTTATTAGGCCACAAAGGAACAAGGATGGTTAAAGATGGAGAAGACCAACAGATTCAAAATGACAAACTTGAAAAATTTAGGCTGAACTTTTCAAGATGTGCAAGATGTGACATACTGCTCCTTTAAGCACCCCTATATATTTTCCATTAAGCACCCCTTCGAATAAGCACTCCCACTGTAAAAGTGACATTCAGGACATAAACATACATAGAATAGGTCAGATTCTGCATTCAAGAAGGGCGTTATGTGGTCTGAGGATTAGCCTGAAAATGGTTTTGAAATAAACTGACAAGGGATTGAAAATTTTGGTTAAACTTCATTTCTGTTCTTTTGAGAGTTGATACTGTTCTTCCAACATTCAACAGGGCTGGTGTTAAGTTTTGATTCATCTGTAACTTCAGACCCATAGCAAACTTGTATCAACAACAGGCAAATTCACCCTGAATATTAAGGCCCATCAAACACACCTTGCGGTAGCAGATGTTACCGGTTACGGCCCTTATTGACAGCCCTGTTCAACTATAGAACCAATTTAGCTCACCATTTTCAGCTTGAGTGGCTGCCCAGAGTGAAAAAAGCTCATCAAAACCAATGACGATAAATGAATACACACAGTAAACAGCAATGGCAATCATTGTTGAACGAGTTCTGCAATCATAACACAGAATGTGGCTTGCAACTGAATGATTAAGTCACATTAATTAAAATATATGCTTGCACCATTAAAGATACTTGAGTTGTTACAGTGTGACTTCTCCAACCAAGATTTTCAAACTAATTTTGCTAAAAACAGAAGAGTAAATCCCACAATTCATATTCACTTGTTTTCTCTTAAAGGAGAGTGGGTGTCCACATGATGCCTTGACACCCATAGATCTGGCTTAAGACATTGTTTGGGATTTAATGGATAAATTTAAAAGATAAATAAATGATAAAACACAATGTCTTGGCACAAAATTGTCATTATCAGAAAACCAACAACAGTCTGCATGCAGCCTATATTCACTTGATCTTTACAAGTACATGTACAATGCTATTGTAGGAAACGTTTTGAAAACCTGAAAGGAAAGGAAACAAAATCCCTCTTTCATCACATCAACTGCTGAATGTTGTTCATTTGCATTTGATAATGGCAACAAGGAGTTGTCATCAAAACATTGTATGTTTTTCTTATCTTTCCAACTTCCGAATCTTCTCACACACAAGTGCAATCCTAAAAAAATACTGGCAGTATCTACCTGAGTAAAACTGCAATTTTGCTGTTCCTAAAACATCGACAACATCCATATCTTGTGCACTGCCAGCTTTTACAGCCACAGCAGTTTCTGCCATCTTCTTTTGTTTCACTGTCAGCATCCCTGACAAATATTTCTAGTTCTTCTGCTTCTTGGGAACTGGAATTTTTTTCACAAGTTTTGTCAGAGTCCACCAGTAATCTCTGCTGATTGCAATCCTCTTGATTATCTACAGAGCTAATTGTGCTTTGTAAGGCTAGTTCACCAATTTCGCTTACTGCAGATGCTTCACTTTCACTGTCAAATTTTAAAAAACAATAATTAAAAAGTATTATCACTGAAAAAAAAAAAAATTGCATTAAAATTATTAACCTTCCTGGACCAACATTTGTCAAAGCGGGCTAACTGCAGCCATGGTGAAAATATAAAATGTATAAACACAAATAATTATGGGTTATTATTATCAACATGTAGTCATCCAATGTCCTGGGGGGAGGACTCCCATATATAAAGGACAGGGGCACTCATCGCAAATTTTGAAAAGAACCCCTAAGAGGTGCCAAGATCCTGCATTGTGTGTGTGGCTTGAAATTTTTTCACTGCTAAGAGATACAAATTCTATAACAAAAGATTATCTCCTGTCATATTTTTTTCGGCTCAGTACTCTACAAGGTACTGCATAAGCTCCTGCTGCGGACCTTTGCGGCTGAACATGGCTAAGAGGAACCAAAACCACATTGTTAAGCAGCTACAATAAGCACCCCTGTCCTTTTATATGGGAGTTCGCCCCCTCCCCCAAGTCCAAAGTAGCTATCATATTTTGGATTTTTACTACATCTTCATCATAGTCTGATCTGAATTTTTTCTGGTTGCCAAATCATGAATCTGTGTTTCGTTCAACAGACAAGGACTGTTTATCAAAAATATATTAAACAAGTGATATAATAAAGAAAATTATTTGATTTGAAATACATTACCTTTTAACAAGAGTTTCTGGTAAAAGGAAGTAGGTCAACACAAATGAAATAAGTAGTATTCCACAATTAAACAGACATGGAAGGAAAAACGCAAATTTGTCGAAAAAAGAACCTGAAAAACAGCCAGTAATCAATACAATTAGTAAGAGCAAATGATCCTGCAGTTTGCCTTATTCACAAAATGGTAATGAAGTTAACATTATTTGTTGGTTGCACACAGACATTTTGCTTTTTTCCAAGAAAGGTAGCTACCTGGAAAATGTATACCCACTGGATTTGTTTCACAATAGGCATAATGCCCTTGATGATTGATTGAAATTCTGTGCATAATCTTATCTAAGAAATAACTGCTTTTCTCGAAATTAAAAAAATTAACTGCATCCTTAGCATCATCATGTACTTACAGACAAAATAGAGACATAACTGACAATTTGCTTACTTAGAGTCTATACTTCTGGGCCCAGTTGTTTAAACCTGCCATCAGCGCTAATCGGGGATTAAATTGCTTAAACGATGATTAAACGTTAATCTGTGATTAGATTGCGTTGCTCAAAGCCCAATTCACGCTAATCAAACTCTAATCGGCGGGTTAAATTTAATACACCTCTGGAGGAGGATTAACTCCCTAATCTGTCGATTAAACTTGAAGAAAATTGTCTGGCTTGCTGTTTCATCTCCCTTGCATTGGACAAATGTTATCGGATATAATCTTAACATACTCGCTTATAGCAAGTAAGAGCTTCGGGATCATTAGAGATTCAGGAGAGCATCCATTGAATACACCACAAACGTCATACACGCAGATTTGTGGAGAAAATCGAAGCATGGCCATGCTCTTGAACCAATAGACCACAGTGCTGCTAGCACTAAGATTTTATTCTAGTGGCAACTGTCTTCAAGTTATCAGCGATACAGTTGGAGTGAACAAGGCCACAGTTTCATGGGCAGTTTTTTTGCCACAGAGGCCATTTGAAAACAAACGTTCTGTGCAATTCTGTGATGTAAAATAGCGTAAGAATACATTATAATCAATTAAAATAATCCACTTTACGCTTAATCACGGATTAGTTAATCAGCGGATTAATCTCCTTTAGAGCAACCATTTTCTAAACCCCGATTAGCTAACCCATGATTAGGAAATTTAATCAACGATTAGGCTTAATTGGAGGTTAGTTTATTTGCAGTTTTGAACAACTGGGCCCTGATTCCACAGTTAAAAACAATCAACACTCTTTATTTCAAAATTAATGAGGTTACATCAATTTGAAGGATCAAAATATTCAATTATTTAAAATTGGTGTAGCAAAAATGTTTATTATGAGGCTTAATGTGTTTGTAGCTGATATAATGCACACTCTGGTTGGCCAATTCTAGGGCATTATTCTTCTGTAATGCCCTGTGACTGGCCAATCATGGGCCTGCAAAAGCAAAGCAAAAAGCGGCACATAATAAACAACCCAATAACCTTGGTTGTTCAGTCTTTACGGGAAAATCTAACACCTTGGCCATGCCTATTGACCTCACTATCACAAGGTGTCAGTTTGAGATTTCCCGTTAAGACCTCACTCTCAGTTCATAAGTAGTTAATTAAATAGTACGTGGATATCGATCAGAATACACTGAGTGTTTTGACTGTAACCAGAAACAGTGTGATGGTGACTTCATTATTCAGCTTGACCAATATCATTATTTTAAAGGGCTACAGTAAATAAGAAATCATTTTGAATACAAACCTTCTGTAAACACACTGGAATATTTCTGTACAGGCTCAGCAAGATAACCTTGAAGTGATAAAACATTTAGTTAGTAATAGTTTTCACAGAGATGTAAGTGTTACCAGTTGTACTATACTCCACCATCTGCAAGGTTGTCATTAAGAGCCGTAACCCGTAACACCTGGTACAGCTGAGTATGCTTGATTTTCTGTTGATGCTATGGGTGAAATTGCCTGTTGTTGACAGAATTGACCCACAAAGTAACAAATTTGCTATGGGTGTGGAGAACAAGGCTACAGGTGACTCAAAACTTAAAGACAGCCCTGCATCTGCCCTTGAGCATTTCATTGTGCATAATTTTTGGAAGTATTTTTTGACTTGTACTTGTCAATAAACCCTTTTCAGAAAAGCATACAAACATACATATCAGTCATGAAAGGTTTTGTGGGTGGTGGCATTTTACAGCTGCTTGATCAAAGTTCAGAGTGTTTTTTGCAAAGAAGGGCAAAACCAGATGAAATGACTTTTCTTTTTTTCTTGCTGAAAAACCATAAACTTCAATCATCACTAATAAATACGACCCAAAGTTTCTTTGCAATATCACATACACTATAATAACTGCTTTTGTAGGACAACCCTTCCTGCAACAGCGGCATCACGATTATGTTTCACTTTCTTTGGGGACCGGTCACTGCTGGAGAACACTGTCCCTTCATGCCAAGTGACACATAGGGTCTTACTACTGGAGACTTGATACATGTACTTAAAGATTTATTACACATTGTGGTGTTCAGTCTAAGCTTGCAATTGGACTGGAAATTTTCTAACATCTTCAGCTTGTCTTTAGATGCAATCTTTGAACCTTTCTGGATTAATTTTATTTAGAAATTGGCAGGTACAAAACACAGGTCACAGGAAATAAGAACTTTTATGTGCCACTGCTACTATTGAGAGCCAAGTGGAAACAGGCTTATTCAGGCTAACCTGTGTGTTTTTTCAGGCTAACCAGTGTGACCTGTNTTGTGCATAATTTTTGGAAGTATTTTTTAACTTGTACTTGTCAATAAACCCTTTTCAGAAAAGCATACAAGCATACATATCAGTCATGAAAGGTTTTGTGGGTGGTGGCAATTTACAGTTGCTTGATCAAAGTTCAGAGTGTTTTTTGCAAAGAAGGGCAAAACCAGATGAAATGACTTTTCGTTTTTTCTTGCTGAAAAACCATAAACTTCAATCATCACTGATAAGTACGACCCAAAGTATCTTTGCAATATCACACATACTATAATAACTGCTTTTGTAGGACAACCCTTCCTGCAACAGCAGCATCACGATTATGTTTCACACTCTTTGGGGACTGGTCACTGCTGGAGAACACTGTCCCTTCATGCCATGTGACACATAGGGTCTTACTACTGGAGACTTGATACATGTACTTAAAGATTTATTACACATTGTGGTGTTCAGTCTAAGCTTGCAATTGGACTGGAAATTTTCTAACATCTTCAGCTTGTCTTTAGATGCAATCTTTGAACCTTTCTGGATTAATTTTATTTAGAAATTGGCAGGTACAAAACACAGGTCACAGGAAATAAGAACTTTTATGTGCCACTGCTACTATTGAGAGCCAAGTGGAAACAGGCTTATTCAGGCTAACCTGTGTGTTTTTTCAGGCTAACCAGTGTGACCTGTCACCTGCTTTTTGTACCCGTCCTTTTAGTGTACAGACTGCAACTTACCCCCAATACCTGGTCCTACAATGAGTCCCATATTCCAAGCCGTCAGTATCACTGATACAGCCAAGGCCTTATGAAGAAAATTAGACAAGATGTCAAAATAGTTTGATTAGTTGTATTTCAGAAGATTTTTTAAGCAGATTGTGGGGCTAATGGTTCAAGAGGGAAATTAGACTATGTGTTCATTTTTCTTTTACTCAAAACAATTTGTAGGCGCTGTGGTCTGTGCAGTCTAAGAAATAGAAAAATCAAAATTGTTTGGGGGGGAAGGGGGGAAAATGTTTCCAAGACGCTCGAAAATCGAATTTTACTACCAAGTGTCTCAACACTTTTGTCGCCCATTGTAGGCTTGGGCTGATAATTATACAGTCAGCAAATATCGTTAAAAAATATGCATAAGAATTGTTATTACATGTACTCACCTGATTAGTATCATCACTGATTTCTGAAACAATTGCTTTAGCAGTTCCTATGACCCCTGAAACAAAAAAGATCAAAATAATTTAAAGTATTTAACTGATTCAGAAGTATTTTAGTAATTTTAACATGAATACTTTACTTGAAAGGAAATCTTGGCTTTTAAAAATAGCTTCTTAGTGATGTCAGTACTATTGCACATTCTTGTGAATTTTCAGTTTCAAGTCAAGTCAACATATTGTATGATAATTATACAACAACAACAACAATTAATAGTTTATTGACACTCCCCTAATGGGGTTTTTCAGTGACAATACAAGAGAGCTAAACTGAGTTAAAAGAAGTGGTTTACAATTCAATTAAAAGGGAAAGAATGCAATAAACATTAAACAACATACAATTCATCATACAACAAATACTGAAATGTAGGGACACACCATCTGACATGCTATTTAAAAGTCAGTCATCAATTTGTTTATCAGGAAAAATTTAAAAGTAGAAAATGAGTTTGCGGTTCTAAAAGTATTGTCTAGATTTTTCCAGATGTGCACCATGCGGTAGTAGCATGTTCTCTGTCCGGCACTCCACTTATACAAAGGGATGTTTAAAAGTTGACAACTTTGGGTCATACGCCCGGTGACCGCAATTCTTGTCATGATTATTGATCACTTATACAAAGGGATGTTAAATAGTTGACAAGTTTGGGTCATACGCCCGGTGACCGCAATTCTTGTCATGAATATTGATCACTGAGATAATGGGACGTTTGACCAGACACACATTTAAATGCCATGACAGGGTCACGGAAGAATGGTCACCGATTTTGTTGAATTGGAAGCTGATGTAGCTCTCTTAATGTGGGGGTTATATGATCAAACTTAATGGTTCCTGTAACAATACGGTGGCAAAGTTCTGCACAAAGGTCTATACAATGCTTCTGATGTGTATTTTGGATTATATTGTATAATAGTTCTANTTGACAACTTTGGGTCATACGCCCGGTGACCGCAATTCTTGTCATGAATATTGATCACTGAGATAATGGGGCGCTTGACCAGACACACATTTAAATGCCATGACAGGGTCACGGAAGAACGGTCACCGATTTTGTTGAATTGGGAGCCGACGTAGCTCTCTTATGTGGGGGTTATATGATCAAACTTAATGGTTCCTGTAACAATACGGTGGCAAAGTTCTGCACAAAGGTCTATACAATGCTTCTGATGTGTATTTTGGATTATATTGTATAATAGTTCTACCATAAAATCCCATCATAAGACCTCTGACAGCATAATGATGGCACACCACTTTCGTTCCACCTGCAAAATTTGTCTAGTTCAGTAGGCCAGAGATTTTAGCCTGAATATACCAGGATTCCTGAAAATGACTTCCCATACCCCAAGAAGTCTAAAGATTTCCAAAGGTTTTCCAGATATTTGCTAGTCTATCCCAGGATTTCTTTCACCAAATGTCACCTCATTAATTTTCACTACTTTCTCTTCTAAAATCAAAGAATTTGGTACCAGCACTGTCATTTACCACTACATGACCTTTTGTTTACTGGTATGGTACTGGTTTGAGTTTACAGCTTGCATTTTAATGGCCCATAATTAATATACTTGTAAGTAAATGTAATTCAGTATTATTCATAGCATGAAGGTTAATGTTTAAATGCCAATTTGAACAGACATACCATTGGTCAATCCAACAAAAAATCTGGTAATGATGGCCATGGTGAGAGACACTGATAATCCAAAACTAGCCATACCAATAATAGTAAGCACAAGGGAGATTAATATGACAGGCCTTCGACCAATTTTATCTGTGAGCCATCCCCAGAAGTAGCTGAAATACAGAATATAAATTATTGCATTTAAATTAGATAAAAAGAGTTTTCCCTAGCTCAGAAAAGAGGCATACACATGTATATTATCAGGATCCCCTGTTCCAGTGACTGGCCTGCATACATGTATTGGGTCATTTTCATTGTACAAGGGTTTTCTACTTTAAAGTGGTACTATGATCAAATTTTTACCCCTTAAATTTTTAGATTTATTACACAGAATTCCACAAAAGATTGCAAATGCTGTTTACCTTTTACAAAATTTGCATTGGTTTGAAGATATTTAAGTTTTCAAAATGCGTAAAATATGCAAATGAGAGGACTGATGAAGTCATACACTCAAACACCAAATATTACATCAAGGATATAAACAGAGCTACATGTGTCTCGGTCACCTTGCAGCACTTGGCAGACATAGTTCTATGTGCAATAGTTCTACATGCAACACACCTATGGCCATAATATGTCATAGTACCTCTTAAGAAAACAGCTAGAGCACCTGTCCAATAATAATGTAAGCTGCCTTTAGTAACCATTGTTGTCGAAACTGTCATAGATGATGAAATTTTGGTCCAAGAGGATGCATATGAGGAAACAAGTTTTAGGTGATTTCTACCACAAGTCATTAAAAGCTATATGCAGGTTATACAATTTATATGAATATCAAACAAACTGAAATGCTACATGTATGTAGGCTATAATACGTTCTTCATAGTAGAACCCTCATCCTCATAAATGGGACCCCCTAGGAACAAGGAAAAGTGTCCCTTTGTGGGTTTCCCAAGTTTGGCCAGCATTGTTTATAATCAAAACCAAATTTGCTAATGACATTAGTATGGGAGAAATAATAAATAATGTTTATAATCTATGTTTAGTTAATTCTCCACAAAGAGTTCACCTACCATCCCAAAGTACGTCCAAGAAACATTGAGGAAGCAATGACACCTGCATAATAGCCTAAAAAATAAAACAAGCAATGTTTAATTAGTAATCAAATAAATAGTGAATAACTGTTAACTATGATTTTAATAGATTAACGGAAATAATCCAAATTCCTCAACAATAAAACCTTGAGAAAGTGGACACGCAAGTTTAAAAAATGCTTATTGTTTCTAAACAGTTATACAGAGGAATTACGATTCCACAACATAATTTGTTTATGGGAAAATTAACTGAAAAAATTATAATCTAGTTCTCTGCAGGCAATACTAGAGGACTATAGCAATGCAAAAACCTACTTGAAATAAACATGAGTACAAGTTTGGGTAAAATCCTCAACTGGAAGTCTGTTTCATACAGCGTAGTATATATTTTGATTCATGCTTTCATTCACTTTAACATGTTACATGTACATAAGAAATATAATTCCCAACCTGTGTCTTCATCTGATATTCCAAAACTCTGGCAAAACAAAATAAATTAAATTTGTTAAAAGAAAAACTTAATTAGATTTCCTTGTTTTTATTTCCAATGGTGATTATTTTGCTACACCTAAGCAAAGTGACATCTTTCTTCATGGGCTGGGGGGTACTCCATGACATTTTTAAAGGGGTTGTGTGACAAGGACCCTAATTCGAGGATATATGGTACATTATATTTATATTGTTATTAACATCGATCTCAGACCTCACCTTCACCATAGCTGGTAAGAATGGAAACAATATTGTGATACATATTGCACTGCAAAGCTGAAAGAAAGATAGCAATTTTTATATTAAGAATACACCAGTACATTTGAATTGGATTTTTATTTGACTTAAGAGGACTCGCAATGGTTTCCATTGGGTAAAGGCCTTAAATCGCCTAGTTTGTATACCATTATTGCAGTTTTACATGGAAAAAGAATTGTAGTATTGATTCATTTATTGTTAAAAGAGCAAAAAGTATCCTGAAGACAGTTGTCAACCACTTAAATTAAAAGAATTCAGTCAGGTGAAGATCGAACAAGAGTCTCAGAATTGACCAAACCTGTGTTTTTTGTCCCTGAAATTGCTAAGCGATAACACAAATCCCCACCATGCCATGTTGTTTTGACTATTTCGGAACTGAAGAGAACTTCAGAGAATTGTGAACGGCCATTTCAAGTTCATTTATTTAATTATTACCTCAATATTGAGCTACATGTAGCAACCCATGCTGATACTAAAATTAATTAATGTGCTTTATCCAGTCATAACAATGCAAGCAGTTTACACCGCACAAATTTTGAATGCATGCAAATTCTTTCACATTTCTTTACAGGGATTATATTATAAACTTTGACAAAATTTTTTGAGAGTGCTCTAGTGGAGGCTGGGCCTAGAGCTCACAATTTCTTTTA